AGTTTGGTATATGTTTCAAGGTCATTACTCCCTTGGGCAGCATGGAATTTCCACTCTGAGTTGATCTGAATGTATTACAATTCTTTCCTATTTAATGCTGATGCAACTTGAAGTGTCATACTAGTATTAGAAACCAGGAGATAATATACGAAATATAGATGAAAACTAAGGGTTTGATGGATCCGAGTATGATTGAATTGCCCTGTGGGAGCTCGAGGCATGAGATAAACCCAATGCTTAATTGAAATGTACCACCAGTATCCATTAACTTGGGTTAGATGATCACACTGAAGGTGTTATAATTGTTCCGATGTGTCAATTTACTATTATGCTAAATATAGCTAAAATTTGTAATAGCCAAATACTTTTAGCGATATGAGTGTTACTAAATAATGAAAGAACAATGAAATATTTTTGTTTCTTCAGCTAATCAAAAGTATACTAATAGTATGTAGGATTTTATCCCAAAAACATTTATTTTCAATTGTTTGACATATTTCTGCATATTGGATTTGATGTTTTGTTCCATTTCTAATTAAATTTACTTCTAAATGACTGGCCAGATATTTAGATAGCCATGTCTTCCTATCGTTTTATGTTAGTTTGTTCTCATATTTTAGGGTGAGATATTGATACATTAAAATATGAGTATGACATCTGGACACTTTCAAAAAACATATAGTACATATTATTAACCTTTAATTGTTATTCTCCATTTGCAAAAAGTTCTTTGCTAGTGAGAGTCAGCAAGATGACGATTAATATTTTCTTCATTTGTGACATGTATTTCACCAACACTGCAAAGCCTTGAAAACATCACAAAGGTTGTCTGATTTATGATAAATAGTTAAACATTGATTAATAATACGCTGAAAATCAAGTTGTAGCTTACATTAACGATATTGTGAATTCAATGTGATAACACAATGATGATTTGCCTTATCTCTTTTCTGCCTTGGCTATGGGCCTGCAATGCACTTTGATACAAATTCATTTGAATTTTTTTCCACATCACATTACAGTGTATTCACTTGCTTTAAAAAAGTGGAAAAAAAACGAAGGCAAGGTAATTGTCCTATTGGGAATATCACAGTTTAGTTACTGCTCAATTTTATGTCTTATACTGAGCTAATGGGCTGTCTCTGCTATCCCAAATACATTTCATGATCATCAAAACATCTTTTAAGGTTAGGTTTTTCTGTATAGCCCCTGATTTATCTTTTTTCTTGCCATTTATCAGAGTAAATGAAGTCTGTTTGTCACGTGCACTGTTTTAATACCCGATATTGTGGTTTTGGTTGTTGCTGATAGTGTTATTTTACCATTTCACAGACATTGGATGCTTGTTAAGGTGGATTTATGCATCCCTTGGGTCCCCTTTAAACCCTTTAAATCAAGATAAATGGTTGTTGTCGCCTCACAGACGTGTTTATACTGAATTTGTTACCCTTTTCAAATTGAGTATCAATTGACTCTTGATCTTGTCAGAATCTCTGTTTATGACTTTGATTGGAGATATATGGTTACTTTCAGGGGTGCATCAGTGAAACAAGATAAATATATTCACAGGCACCTCACTTGCACTTGTTAAATTTATTTCTCCTTTTAGCTGCATGTGAATAGGCAATAACTTTGTTAATTCAGTCAATTGCCCAGAGAACATGAGCTCACAGCACATAATATATAAAATGACTTTTAGAAATGCACATTTTATTGTTTGATCACTTTTTGATTTTTCACATTTTTATTTTTTTAATTTCAGTTTGTAGCACATTCAAATTGCCAGCAACTCTTAGCGTCGCTGTGGTATGAAGGTTTACCTGGTTTCCGCAGGCGCCATATTGCCTTCAAGGTTATCATGACCTCGGTCATCGGCATGCTGTTTCCATTGTGGTCATTAATCTACATCATGGTGCCGAAAAGTTCTTTGGGAAAACTTCTTCGGAAGCCATTTGTCAAGTTTATATGTCATAGCTCCTCCTATTTCACATTTTTGTGTAAGTATTCAGCAGAAAAGTCGTTTCATCATGATTAATTTGGTGTGACTGTTGATTGATGAGTTTGTCCATAATAAAGGAAATAGATATTGAATGTTTTTGTAATTACATAATATGGAAGGTTATTGCCGTCATCAGTTGGAAATAAAGACGTGTATTGTATTGATCTTGGTTCTCATTTCTTGATAAACCTGTAGTAGGTTTTTAAAGGAAAGATTTATGTAGCTGGCATTTGGCAAATTGGGAAAAATGGTATCATTATTGTTAATATAAATATTTGGTGTTTAATTATCAAATGCCATCTTGAATGGCATGATTATGCTTGTCAAAGGCGCATTCAGATCAAATCAAATACAGCTAACCAACTTGAAAGCATGCTGCAAAAATCCTATAATAGACACTGAATCAATTCCCCCGCAGGGATTACCCAGTAAGCTTTAAGGTGGGTCAGCCATATTGATCTGCAGATCTGTTAGTCCATGGATCAACCTTGGTTGTGAATGTGGCCAAAGATCCTTAAGATCCTTAAGTTATCTAGTAGAAGACAATATTTATCTTCCTCAAAACAGGAATTTAATTGAAGCAGTTTGTGGTTATGAGCCAATGGTCTCGAAATTTATATTCCGTTTCATAAACGTGAAATATTAACATTTATCATTCTGATCGAGTGTGTAGCATGAAAATGTTTTGATGTATTTACCCTTGTTTATGTATATCTCTCAAAAAGGTTTTTGATGAGAAGATATTGCAAAGTGTCTTGACATTGAAAAGGTTTAGTATCTGCTTAAAAATAATGCTTTTCATCCTACAACATGTGAAAAGATGTAATAGGTTTTTCAAAAATCCTCAATTGGATTCTGTATAAAACGTAGGTTAAAGTGAATTAAGAAGGTTCTCTGTGTTTCAGAGCAGTGTTTTCCTTCTTGAAAAGAACCATTTATAAAGCTATTGTGCTTGCCTTGAGGCTGTTAAAAACAAGAGAGTAAGCATGTTTAAGATTTGGATGTCTCTTCCAGGTTTTAACGATAACTTTATAGAGTTTTCTTTTTCAGTTTTGTTAATCCTCGCCTCTCAGCACATAGAATCCATAGACAGCATTACATTATGGGGGGAAAGCAAGGCAAGCAGTAGCCTACAGCTTGGGGAGATCCGCGGTGCTCCCCCTACCATTATAGAATGGATGATCCTTCTGTGGGTGATAGGTAGGGTCTTTGATATGAGGCATTGGTACAGAACAATTTGGATAGAAAATAACTGGAGTTTATTTTGCCTGGTGGGAGGGGGTCTGTTACGTGGGCTCTTGCCCCACCTACCTTCTGAGCTTCTCTCTTTTTTTAATGTGCATTTGACAAAAAAATTATACTCATTTATAAATTCTTATGTAGCATGATTTAGATAAAATTTTAGACAAATTACATGTTTTACTTTTGTTTACTTATTTTTTATTCATTTTAAATTCGTCTCTCAGGTCTAATATGGGCAGAGATAAAGCAGCTTTGGGACGAGGGTGCGCAGGAATATATACAGGACATGTGGAACATTCTGGACTTTGCCACAAACACATTGTATATTGCTACTATTACACTCAGGATTGTGGCCTACATGAATGTAAGCTAATTTTCCTATGGATATATATATTTTTTTCAATTTAAATCAGAAATCCATTTATTCTGGCAATTTTCTGCCCTAACCAGCTGTCAGACCCTTAATTAGTTGTAAGGGTACCAAGCCCCAAACTGTTTCTTTCTACTTTTTTCTAATGCTGCCTAGAATCATGTTGTCAACTGTATTCTGAAAATGTTCCCATTGTATCTCTGATAGATATTCCAGAAATGTAACTGGGCATCTCCCTCTCAACATATATACATATAATTCAGGGTTTGACACTAACCTTTTCTCCACAGACCCATTGGACCAGAGAGGTTCAAAACTCACTGACCCGAATCAGCCTTCTACTTGCCTGACATGACATCAGAAATCACGACTAATAACAACTTATATCGATAAATATAACAAGGGCTACTTTGCGCATTAAATTTTACTTGCCTTTTTGGGCCAGTAACCCCCTGTGAATCAATCAAATCACTGGCCCGAGATCAGTTTCCCGTGGCCCTGGGCCAGTGGGCCACCTTTAATGTCAAGGCCCTATAGTTGTAGATACACATGTCAGATAGTGTATTATGGAAGTGAACATGTGGATGTTGTCTATTTCAGGTTGAGCGAGACGTCTCGGGAGGTGTACCCACCAGATATGTCCCCAGAAAAGACTGGAACGCCTTCGATCCCAACCTCATCGCCGAGGGTACCTTTGCAGCTGCCAATATCTTCAGCACTCTAAAACTCATCTACATTTTCACTGTGAATCCACATTTAGGGCCCTTGCAGATTTCCCTGGGGCGCATGGTGATGGATATCATGAAGTTCATGTTTGTTTATTTTCTGGCATTGTTTTCATTTGCCTGTGGCATCAACCAGTTATATTGGTACTATGCAGCTGCCAGAAGACAAGAGTGTCAAGTCAGCGAGAATGAGTGCAAGAAAAATCATGAGGCATTATCTAAGTAAGTTTTGAATAACATGAATTTTCAAAGCAAGTTTGTACATACATGTATATATGGTAGTCATTGTTGTTGGATCTTCTTGTTACGTAGTCCCTTTCTTTCCCAGAACCTTTCCTTTCCCAGATAGCATATTACTAGTGGCTAATGTTGGACTGCCTATGGCAGAGTAACTGGTCTTTACCCAATAGCTATAATTATAGTAGTCCTTTTACTATTGAACAGACAGTGACCCCATGATGACATTAGCAGCAAAACAAAGCCAGAGCTGAGATTAATTAGATGTTGGCTTGCCAGCCAAACATCACAGTAACTTCAAAAATGTGTCATGGGCTAACTAATTGTTGAAATTGGCCCAGCATTGGCTCATTTGCAGTGTTGCAGTAACTTTGAACAGTGAAGCCAAAATGTGCTGTTAGACCAACCACTTGTTGAGATGGCCTAGCCTTGGCTTCCAAGTGATGCATTGCAATAATTTCATACTGGAAATGTTGTCAACTGGAACACTCATCAAAATTGACCCTAAGAAACAATTCCCAGAGCCTATCGTACTAACTGTAGATTGATCTCCAAAGGGATTCTTGCTAAATTGCAATCAATTAAAGCAGCTTAGATATCTGTCACGCCTACTGAAGCAGCTAGGGGGTAATTAATTATCATTTAGCAGCTTTAGTAGGTGTGCCAGACATCTAAGCCACTTAAGCTGAAAGCAATTCAGCAAGAAACCCCTTGGAGATGGACAGATCCTGTTAGATCGATCTAGGTATGGGGACCCAGTCTAAACTGGCTTGCCATCAACAGTTTGCAGTCTTTTTGTAGCTATATATAAGGTGCAGCCTGCAGGTTTCTTGCTATCTGGGTTGCTTTCCCCCCCACAGTGTTGTTTGCTTTTTTTTTGCTTTCAGTTGTTCCAGATCTGCCGTCTATCAGGGTACCCATCCACAGTACTGGAGAAGATTAAATGGGTGAACAGATATGCATGTGCATGACAGCTAGAGAGAGTGATTATATTTTGGTTGTTCATTTTCTAACCATTTAATTTAGAAATATGAATGCTGCATGCTTGAAAATGATTTTTTCTGCAGGAACCTTTTGGCAACCATATTTGATTGGAAGGCTTATTTACAGAGATTGAAGAACATGTTTTGATAGGAAGGTTGAAATATCACCTGCTGCAGACACAATTAAATAGATTTAGGTCTTTGATACAATCACCAGGCATTCAGAACTGATGAAACTTTGTTTTAGAAAAAAATACATCTGGTAGTGACATCTTGTCTGGAACATCCTGCAGACAACAGTGGACATTAAATCCAGCGTGCAAGCCATTAAAATGGAATCAAAACTTAGTTAAGAAGCAAATTAGTAAATTATGCCTACAAAAGCTTTGTGAAAAGAATCTGGAACACGCAGATGGGTAGGACCAGCTGTTATAAAATTTGGACAGATTGTTTTGCTGATGAGAGCACTTTGTTTGTCATGTCTGTCGTGACATGAAATTGATGCTTTCTTAGAATAATTACTGGAATCTCTCAATTTTTAGCATTGATTTTTATAATCTCAATCCAGACGTGCTTTGGGGCATGTTTCCACCCATGCAAAAAAGACTGTTCTTGCAGACAATAAACACCTCAATATCGTGTCCGACTGGTTCGTATCATTTTTAAAATATATTTTTAATATCAAAGTATTTTTTTTTTGTTTTTTAGCATATGTGGGTGGGTTAATAAAGCCAATTCTCTTTATGTAATTGTATCTTATTTTGAGCAAACCTAGTATATGCAACTAGACTGATCCAGTTGGCATTTGTGTAGACCTGGAATAATGTATTTTTATTCACATCAGCAGATGACATATGTGTTTTGAGGGCTGTCTGGATTGGAGAGATTTCATATTGATTTGATATTGTGTTTTCCCAAAACACCTGATCCAATCCGACTGAGAAACTTAAAAAAAAAAAAAAAAAAAAAAAAATTGTGCAACTTCATACTGTGGTTGGTGTTACATAAATCTTTTTTTTTAATATGCTGATGATTAGGAATTACGTGAAAGGCTGTGACCATTTTAATCCACATTGTTACTGTAACAGTATTTTCACGTCAAGTATTCCATGTTGGTTTTCTGTGTTTAGTGTTATCTTCTCCTATGTTCTGTTAACAAGGTTGTTATGATGTAAAAGATTTGCTGTCCTTGACACATTCAGTTAATTAACAATAGCAATGGTACCTGTAATGACTCANGTTAATAAAGCCAATTCTCTTTATGTAATTGTATCTTATTTTGAGCAAACCTAGTATATGCAACTAGACTGATCCAGTTGGCATTTGTGTAGACCTGGAATAATGTATTTTTATTCACATCAGCAGATGACATATGTGTTTTGAGGGCTGTCTGGATTGGAGAGATTTCATATTGATTTGATATTGTGTTTTCCCAAAACACCTGATCCAATCCGACTGAGAAACTAAAAAAAAAACAAAAAAAAAAAAAAGTTGTGCAACTTCATACTGTGGTTGGTGTTACATAAATCTTTTTTTTTAATATGCTGATGATTAGGAATTACGTGTAAGGCTGTGACCATATTAATTCACATTGTTACTGTAACAGTATTTTCACGTCAAGTATTCCATGTTGGTTTTCTGTGTTTAGTGTTCTCTTCTCCTATGTTCTGTTAACAAGGTTGTTATGATGTAAAAGATTTGCTGTCCTTGACACATTCAGTTAATTAACAATAGCAATGGTACCTGTAATGACTCAATCTTTTTAATGGGAAAACTTTAAATTTTACAGATATTGAATTTCCTGAAGCCATAAATTCTTTATATTATTGGTGGCAACAAAATTAAAAAGCGGGCCACCTTTTGGTTCCATCTAATACAGTAAAATCATCACATGCTATATAGAAATATATTTTTTATGATTTTAAAATGATATTTCTGAAAAATTGATGATTTTTCTCCATTAAAAAGCTAGAGTGATTAATGTAGTTTCAACTCACTGATGCTTCACTTGCTGACAGTACACCAATGTTCTGGTGTTTTAAAGAGTACGTGCCCCTTGCAGAACTTCTGCCTAAACAGTTTAAAACAAACTTGTGAAAGTGAGGAAAATTCTCTTGTAGCTAAATCAGGTGGAAGGAACTCTCAAAACCTAATTTGAAAGATGGAATACTCTGTGTAAAGAGGCCTTTAATGCACCGCCTACAAGTAATGCAATTGCGTTTCTTTTTCACCATGAAATTGAAAATTAATTTCCATACTGCTTTGAAGCCTTAGAAGGAAGAGAATCACAGTAGCACCTCTTGTTTATTTATCTCCGAGTGTCTGTCTAGTCATAATCCATGCGCATGAGAGATAATACACAGCAGAAGAAATACACTAACGTCTTTTCCTAGCTCTGAGCTGTTAAACATGGCTTTTAAACACTATTCATAAAGATGATTGCACATTGAGAAGCACAGATACATTGCCTCTGCAAGTCAGGAACACATTAATTTGTTGTCTTAACAAATCATGCTTCTATTACTGACAGAATGGTGATTTGGTTTTATGTATATAAGTATCTAATTGAATTGATTTGCAGTAATTGCATTCTACAGATATATTTCCATTAATTGTTTCAACTTGGCTGTTATTCGGTTGCTTTATATTGATGATAATGCTTGGAAATGATTGACTGTGAGTGCATTAAGTGAATCTGTTAAATGGGATCAGAATATTATTATAACTTACGACATTGTTTTTTTCCTATGTTACGGCTTTGGTATAGATTTTACAGATATTTAAATTGATGGTCTTGGATGAACATTATTTACGTAAAGAAGACAGATGATGGTGAAAAATGCAACATTCAGTATAATTTGAATAAATTGTTTGATTTATTAATGGTGATAGCATATACATGTATGACATAAATGTCATGTCAAATGACAAGTCTTTTCAAAACATTCAGCCTTGGAAATCAATAGTTAAATGGTGAATTGATCATTCCCAAGAGTACAGGCATATGGTTTCAGCAGTTGTTGTAGTTTGTGAATTCGTTTTCTGGTATTTATATTACTGCTTAGAATCTTGTTATGGAACAAAAAAAAAGGACTTGCAAGCTAAATATCTGCCATTGTCAAAGAGTTATTTTTACAGAGAATATTTGAAAAGTGATTTATTTGTTCATCAGTAAGAATTGATTTCTTGAAAAAAATCTTTTTTTGCTGTATTTTTATATCAATCCTGTCTCTAACAAAACCGGCTTGGCATAATTTGATGAAAAGAAATTACCAAATCAAGATAAAATTATATATAACTAAATTGTTAACTTTATCTCTCTCTTTTCAGTTTGTTTGAGATTATGCAAACCCTTTACTGGGGCAACTTTGGCCTAATAGATTTGGAACACTTCACTCTGAAGGAAGACCACACCATCACACAGCTCTTGTTGAAGCTGATGTTTGGAACCTATTCTTGGATTGCTATTGTGGTGCTACTCAACATGCTCATTGCCATGATGAGCAACTCTTTCCAGATTATTTCAGTAAGTTGTGCTCCCAGTGCATTGTTGAGGTACTGGTATTATGTTTTCTATGTACTAGATGTGCATGTAAGTAAATATGACAAAAATAAATATCAATGCTTTGATAAGATTCTTATATGTCAACTCATAATTGTAATTTATGAGAGAAAGGAAGAGTGTTTGGATGCAAGACTAAAGATAATAAAATAATTAGAAATTACTTTATCTTCATTTTTTTCTAATTAACAAGTATGATTAATTGCTTTTCCAGAGCATGCAAGACACGGAGTGGAAATTTGCCCGCTCAAAAATGTGGATGAGTTATTTTGAGGAAGGGGGCACCCTCCCTGCCCCTTTCAATATCATACCCACTCCCAAGACAGTCTGGAATATTCTGGTCTGGCTGAAGAATGTTTTTTGCAGGTGCTCTAAGAGACAGAAGAGAAATAGGTGGCAGAGTATTAGGGTAAAGCACGTCTTCTCATTAACAAAGTGTTACATTTAAATTTACAAAGTAGCTATATAGTGTAGCTCAGTATGATATATTGGGGATGGGAAATTTCACCCATTTGCTATTATTTTTTTCTGTATTAAAGTAAATTTGCTGAACACAGTTTAAGGTTAAACTTTTACTTTTCACAGGTATCATATGCTTATCCAATATTATACAGCATTCAAAGAAAAGTTTGGAAAAAAACTGTAAAGTAGATAGAATAGAGTCAGTCATCAAATAGAAAAAAAAAATACAGAATATGTTTAGCAAAGCTTTCTCATTTATGTCACTCACATGTGATTCCATAGGTCTATTATCAATTGCAAGTAGAGCATAAGCTGCGTACCCTTGAATGCTTCCTTTCCATTAGTGTTAACTTGTGTACTTGAGTCAGGAATCCTCTTCATTCAAGTGATTTCAAGTTCGTGATTGTGTGATGGCGTATGAACAAGATATGGAGTGAAGGACATGGGCATGTATAAGATGGCCATGTGTATCATGACCACATCAAAGTTGTATGTGTGGGGGGGGGGGGGGAAAGGTCATCAGAAATTTAGATAATTATGCTTCATTGTTCTTGCCATCAGCAATGAGCATCACAATCTTGAAGTTATTTTCAACAGCCTTTTTTATGATAACTAAATGTCAGTGTTGTGATATTTTCAGAAACTTGTTAAGAAAATCCATGACAGGGAACAGAAGTACCAGGTAAGTAAGCAGAATAATAGTACTATCAGCTTCGTGGTAATCCAACAGTGAACACTACTCTGATCAAAACCGCCAGTTGTTATATTTAAGATTCTTTTATTTTTATCACTGGTAGATTTTTTTTTTATTTATTTGGGGCATTTGGATTTGGACGGGGGAAGGTTTTCTCCTTGTAATCCAATATTTATGCATTGTTTAATTTTTTCCATTTGTTTGCCAAAAATATTGCACTCTAAGTATTAAATTAGTCCCTTTTTTTGTTTTGGGCTATTATGACCATGCTATTTTGTTAAAATTCATACAGGCGGTAGTTCGAGACCTTATCAAACGCTACATCATGTCCAAGCAGAGGTTCAAGGAAGACGAAGGGGTCACAGAAGACGACATCAATGAGATAAAGACAGATGTATCATCATTTCGTTATGAATTACTTGAAATTCTACGGAACAATGGCATGAAGATCCCAGAATACACACAGAACAAACCGAGTTCGAGTAAGAAAAAACAACGTAAAAAACGATATCGAACCAGGTGAAAGCGTCCCATCGCAATCCGCAGTACGGAGCCATAAAATTCTTACAAGTTTGTATAAGTTATTTTGGACAATGCTGGTGGTGTAGTTTTTAGATTTGAGTTGCCTTTGGCACATGTGCTGGAAAGAAAGGTTTCTTTTGAGGGCCACGGGGGGCGTACCAAGTGACCACTGTTGTAATAACTTGACCTGACATTGCTCTCTCTCTCTCATTCTCTCTCTCTCTCTCTCTCTCTCTTCCAATCCCCTGTGGCCCCTTATAGGCACATGTGACATAGAATTGGCATGCAATGGGCAATGAATGCTGCATGGTCCCCTCCCATCATCCTCAACTTATGTAAGTGATACAGCTGGGCTCATTCCTCACTGTGATTTGATTGTTCATGTATTTCCAACAGAAAAAATATCACCATTAATGGTTATAACAATGAATGAAGTAGATGATTCAAAATTTATACTTTTAGTATATGAACAATAGACCCTTAAAGTTAATTGCTATGTCACTTACATCATATTTGTGTGATTTTTAAACTCTGTTATTCATTGCCCAACTTAATTTTTCCTTAATATTTAGTTAGATTAATTTTCAAGTCTGAAGTAGTTTTAATAACTTTTGGCTCGCTTTTCGGTTTAGGCCACTTGTATCGTGATGGGGACGTTTTCACCATTCAATTGTATGTTGCATGCCAGCAACTAAAGTTGTGTTTACATTGATTTCTTGGTTTTTCTTTTGGAAAACTACACCATATTTTGTAAGCCTGTACACCGTCTTTTCTAATTTACATAAGTGATTTTAGCTAAAGACCTTTTGCATGCGATGCCACTTGCCTCACAAGGCAGGCTTAGACGACCATACAGATCAACAGCTGTATGGGTCCAGATACAATGTACTAAATTGTAAATAAAAATGTTAAAGTAACATGGCTGAATGACTTTTCCAAATTTAACTCAAAGGATCACTCTGTACACTTCAGTTTGTTCTTAGTAAGTAAACAATGATCAGCTACAACTGTAACTTTTTATCCATGTGAAGTGTAATCCTATGTGTTATGAATCAAAATTACTATCCTAGCATGAAAACGTCCTCGAAAGCCAGGGTTTACAGTCACAGTTGTGTCTTGGTTTATCACCTTCTTTTCGATAACCTTATTCCCAAGACTTCCAAAAAAATTCTTAATGTTGCCCTGATTTTGAAACAACCTATTAGCTCTTAGTGTTTTTCAGCCAGATATATCAAATGCATTTTTTTCTAAGCTGTAATTTATTTGTGTGGACTTCAAGGCAGTCTCATATGATATGCTCAATTTCAAGGTACAAGTCAGAGCAGTCAACGTCTGAAAGCTTTTGAGAAAACCTCTGGGAGTCTGAAAGCTTTTGAGAAAACCTCTGGGATTCATTGAGGCAGGGATGGTATCAAAAATATGCACACACAATTGAGGTTCAAGCAAGAGGGGATTCGTACTTCCCTATCATTGAATTCCTATCCTTCTATTTAAATGGTGTGTTTCCTGTAATCATTGTTATATGATTAAATTGTTTTTGCAGGGATGAGAAGACTGGAACAAAAGAGGAGCAAAACAAGATTCTCTTTGCAGGATCTTGACCGGGTGCGTCAAAGGATTACATCCAGCTCTCCAGATCTCTATCGGCAAGGGAACCAATCAAGTTCATTACGCATGGCCCACAGTAATGGCTTGAAGAAACGGCCAGATTTGGAGACTGTGCAGGAAGAACGATTTGAACGCTCAAAACACTGGAGTCTGAAAAACAATCGAGGGCCACCGAAAAATGTGCGTACCAAAATGGTGCCACAGGACAGTCTTCAAGATGAGGGAATTGGGGAGTCCTTTGATCAGCAGACGGTCGTCAGTGAGCCAGGTTGTACTACGAACGGACCTAATGGCTACCTGAACAATTCGTTTGACAGAATGAAAGGAGATGACATTGAAGTAGTATTGGACCCAATCCAGTCTGAGACCACCACAGAGCAAGTTGTGGTAAATAATAATTCAGAAATTCTCCTGGAACCCAGAACCCTTCCAGGTTTTGAAAAAAGACGTCCCGATACACCTAGTGAACAGAGGAGTCCCTTTACGAACAAGAGACTTGGGTCCATCAAGAAGGCCAACTTCTCCTGGGGGAGTTCCGAGGAAAGTGAAAATGAAGATTGTGGCAACATTGGCAAGCAGACATATTACTATGATGGAAAACCTCAACTAGAGGGTCTTCCTGAAGAGAAGTCGCCATCAAACTCCCCCAAGGGTGACAAGAAAAGTGAGAATAAAAAAGTTCCCACAACACATTTCTAACTTCACCATGTCCCCGTCTCTGACAAACCCTTTGTTGAATGTCCAGTTTGTTAGCAAAATTTTCAGTTAAAAATTTTCAGTTTCAGTTAAGTCGGGTTAATAGGTTCTAACAAGTAAGTACCTTGGTTTAAAAGGGTATGTAATTTTCCTTTCCCTTGTGCGTCCGTAGAAAATGTTTCAGAGAAGTTAAATGGTATATATGCCACCCACGTCTCCCTAGATCAGACCATGTGTTCTTATTACGTATCTATATACCTCATCTTTATCTCTGCTGTAGAGATATACATAACCTAGAGCAAAGAGTCGAGAAAACAAATGATATGCCGTTAGCTAAGGTAGTCATGGCCAGTATCCAAAATGGGAGCCTTTCTGAAAGGACTCCAACTTCTTTTACGTGGTACATAGGAAAGGAGGCAGAAGTTGGTACATATCACTCAAATATCTGTTATTGATAATCTGATGTGTGCATTTTAAGGAAGGGCAGAGATGCAATCTGCATGACATAAGAAAGTTCTTAGAGACAGTTTGTCTGTAAATCTGTTTTTTTTTTCATAAAGTTATGCAACTATTTGTCATAGATATTCTGAAGTTCAAAACATGGTTCACTGTTACCTTGTGGGTATTAAGTTTTGTTCTACACGTACCTGTAGAGAACTTTATATCTTTTNATTTTGTGTAAATGTGGACAATCTTTTTTTTTTTTTTTGTGTGTGTGTGTGTGTGTGTGTGTGTGTGTGAAACATATCACAGGGGATGAATATCTTACACCAAGATGATAGCAGGTATTTATATATATATATATATTATGCACATTTGTTCATATGATATGAAACTGAATATGGAATTGAAATTATATCCATTTATTTTATGTAAGAACAGATCAGATAATTCTACAGTATACACAGTTTAACAGTATTTTAGTTTTAAGCATCTCGTATAATGAACACATCTTGAAATTGATTGCAATTACACCTTTTTTTTTTAAAGTTTCTTTCAAGCCTGTGGTTTAAGTGGAGTTTGACTGCGCCCTGTTCATTTTACCCAGTGATATGAAAATAAGGCATGTTATATAATACAAGAAATGATTTTTAATTTACCATCACTTTTACTGTTTGAATTTATTTATTTATTTTTTTATTATTATCATTTTTTTTAAAGGCAAGGACTCAATCTGAATGCATTTTATTTGATCCAGGAATATACCAAAGATTTTTGTTTTGTAATATGTAGTTAGTGTTGCACACATTGGGGGTTTTTAATATGGGAGATTGAAGATTGACAATGGCAGGATTGAAATGCGAGAGGTGTTTTACATGGTATTTGTAGACAATTGTTATTAGAATTGGAGTAGTAGTTATTAGTGGAATGGCAATGAATGCAAAGGCATTTGAGCTGGACTCTGAAGCTTTTAGTCGTGATTTTTATTATGATAAACAAGATTGGGATGTGTAAAACATATCTTATAGCCTTTTATTTGTTGTGAGTGTATATATTTATAATTGGATTTTTTGTTAAGAAATACTATCCCAACATCAAACATGCACAGCTGTGATGAGAGATATTCTTGGTGCTTTTATGAAATTTTATGATACTTCATATAATTAGTCAAAGTAACTTTGTCATAATATGACCATGATGACGTTATTTGCAGAGATTAAGGCTTCAATGGAGTTAGGATATAATTTTTAGATCTTAATTTCCAGGAAGAGGACAGTTTTGGTTAGGAGAATGCTTGTTGTGATATGAAATTCTCTTTTGAGTTTTTTTTTTTTTAAACACCAAGATTTGTTCATCTTTATTTATTTTGTGATTTGTTTTTTGATTGCCATTTGAGATTTTTTTTAGTTTTGAATTCAAATTTTGGTTGAAAAGCAAGCCTTGGAAACATCTTTTGAAAAAAAAAAGAGCAGTCTCCATAAACTGCTTTGAAAAATTACGCAGGACTATTTTATTGCAGCTTGAGCAAAATACTTATACTGCATAGTCTTTTTGCAACTTTTTTCAATATTTAAAATTGATTGTGGAATCTTTATTCCCCCCCTGCTTAGTGCTGCCTTAAATTACATTAAATGTATCTCTTCTTTTTAAAGGCAAGAAGTGCATTTTTAAATGTTTACCTTTTAATTAAAGAAAAAAAAATTGATATCCTGTATGAAAATTTTACTTGTTTTCAATTCAAATTGTTACAATTTTTACAGTTTAGCTCACAGATAAGCACTATGTACGAGTATTCTCATTTTGAATTCTTACAAAGTAAAAGTTGTTGACAACATCATATCATTACCTTACGTTGTGAGTCAATAAAGTTTGTATAAGTCTGACATCGCTTTTTGGTATGTTTCTTGGCAAACCATCCGACATAACAGTTGAACCACAATTCCAGACCAATTACCATAATACTGATACACACCCATGCAAATGAATTGTGCTAATAAGGCTATACAAATCTTTTGCATCTTCAGTAAACTCAAAATAAGAGGTATGTATTGAGAGCATCACAATAACTTCAAATATAGAAACAGAATAATCGGAAAATGCTGCTCTTCAGCATCCTTCAAACCTAACTTTACTCTGCTACCTGACCAATGCGTGGGATATCAATAATAACCCAAAACGGCTGTTACGTAAAATGGTCTGCAGCACTGTATAATGTACCTTCAACTCATCGAAATGTTGAGCTAAAAACTGTCCAATCACGAAGTTCACACAGAATCTTGAAACCATGATTGTACCCAAGATAACTGACCATACTTATATTCGATTCCTTGGAAGATATCTTGGGAAGTATTTCGGATGGAACACGACTCTAGACCTGGTATAGACTTTGAAGAAGTAAATGTTTGGACTGCTGGCACTTGTCAAGTCTTTCGTGGGGCCTTGAAGTGAATAGATGAGACTTTAGTGAATAGGCAAAAATGTTATACATTAATGTTGAATTTCAAAAAGGGAGCCACAATCACTTGAGTCCATATGGCCTTACAAGCTACACTATGAACCATGGCTTGTGTTTTTAACACAAAAAAAAAAAAAAAAAAAAATTTGGGTGATAAACATTTGACGTTTTCTATAGCAGAACATAAATGTGTTTTATATGAAAAATACATGTACAATATTTTAAATAATGTTTATCATCATAGCATTATTATACAACAAAATGAACTTATATGATATTATCATTATAATTGATGGTACAATAGCCACCAATCCAGAATCTTAAAACATCTATGTAATACTTAAGAAATAAATAAAAAGCATCCTACTTCTTACCTATTGAAGATGGTGGATAATACCTCTTACCTGCCAAAGAACACTTGCAATATATCTCTTGCTAATTTAGGGAAGTATGACTGTTTGACCACGTGGGATAAAACTAGCATTGGACCACTTGGGTCAGCCACTGGCTTTACTTTGTCTTCACTCTGAATAGGAAAACAAATGACAGGCTAAATCAAATACACCCACACTAACAGAAATCAGTCACAAACTTTTGACTTTTCTTTTATTAATTTGCTCAATGCATGTGCATCATATATTTCTCCTTTTAAATTGATTGAAATGAATCTCCCATCACCTAGGTAAAAATTAATTGATGTAAACTTTCAGAGGATAATCTGGAGTTGTTTTTTTTTTTTTTTTTTATTACCAGGCATGTTTGTCAACAGTTTATCATTTCATGCTTAATATGATGCCTGACATTGCTAAATCCAACTGTCAATAAAAGTTTTAAAATGCAGTTTCTTTTGCACTGGCATCCTCCTCTCCCAGTAATTAAAAACTTTAGATGAAACTAAATGCACCAACTAGCAATTTAATGAAGTAAAAAAAACAGTAAATTAAACAGTAAAACTACCAAGAAGAGATTTACCTTCAGCAAACCTATGTGTACAAGAATTGAGTTTGAGATGGTAGCCTTGGTACTTTCATCTGTACCACGTAACAGCTTTCCTAACAGAGAATCTGAAAACAAAAATAAATTGCATAGGAATGACTTTTGAAAAGTAGCCAATCATAGTGATATTGAAAAAAAAATGAACCTGACAAAAAATTAAATGCAACAAAAGCCTGTTATGAGTAGCTTAATAATACCTAACAATTCAAATGCCCGTCCATACCTGCGATTTCATTGACAGCATTTTGTGCTTTAGTATTTTCTGAAGACACCACACATGATATCTGGAATTTAAAATCAAAACCTTGGAATATCACAAACAATACGATAAAATTGGTAACTTATTTGCCACTGCAGAGTGAAACACAAGATTTCTCCACACTATCTACAACCACTAACGTGTACTATTAGAAATTTGAGGTGCATGCATTTTACACTCTGCCCACATTCTTCGTAATAATTCATAAGAAATTTGATGTGTGATGATGATAAGTGCTTTTATCTCATTTCACTTCCATGATATCAATTTGACAGTCTAGCAAGCTTACCTTCATTAACGTCTGGATACATTTATCTGTGTTGTTAAAGTCTTTCTGTAAAACGAACAAAATTCGACTGACTGAAGTAAAGCAAAAAATATACAATGTACAGCATCAATTAAAAATCAAATAAAAACAACTTCAAGTGTTGTAACCTATTCCGACAATTCACTAAAAACATTTAATGTACAAAGTTAACAGTGAACTCTAATAACCAGACATAAATGTTGTCAATATATGCATCTCACCTCTATTTCTGTCATAATCTTTGCAGTTCTATCAGAACCCAGTGAAATCAACTTAGGTGCTGTAGGCAACTGTAAGAATTCTGTTACACTGACAGGCTGAAAAAAATTTAAAGCAAACTTTTTAGCACTGGGAGAATACAAACACACATACACTAGTATCATTTTAAAGATGCTACACATATGCCATCTGGTGGCATCACTGACATACTAACACCACCACACTACCACTTTCATTTGTCCACTATGAAACATTAATCAAGTACATTTGTAGTTTTACAATGCCAAGGTCCAATTGGACTATGATGGCTTCATTCAGATAGGCTGGTTGCAGATATCTGAAGTTATTCTTCATAAATTTTTAAAATCCTCAACATACACATTAAAATTTTATATCCTGCAAAGTTTTTTATGATTCCCAATTCAGACCCTGAAGGCAATGAAACCCTTTGAATAAAAGTTAATATGTTATTTTCTAAGCAGCTACAGGGCACAGGACCTTGATACAAAACACCTAGCCATTTTCTTATGGCACATGTCCTTCTAAGTGAATGGCCAGTAATTTAAACTATGATATTCATAAATTATTGTACAGCGTCTTGAAACAAGTCAAACTACAAGTTCTATATTGTTAAGTTTAAAGCTCGGTTACCTTTGACTTTCAAATCATCATGATAAAATATGAAAAAGAACACCAAATTGCAATGAGAGTTCAGGAATTTTTTACTTTTATTACTCTCTTCCCATCAATTACATCATAATATATCATAATATATTTGACAATTTCTTTTTTCATGACAGGACTATAAAAATGAACATTATTGTATACTTAATCAACTGACTCTTGATAAACTGCCTAGTAATATAAAATGAAGAAGTACCTAAAAATAAGACTTATTTTATAAAAAATCATAAAATATAAATATTATATTTTGCATCTGGCCAACAAAAGATCTTTAAATGTGAAAATAGTTTCATTTCAATTATCAAAAGATTATTAATTTTCAGTCATCTCTTCATAATGAAAATTATTCTGATAGACTTCCATTTGCACAAAAGCCAATCTATATAAAAATTACTCCACCTCTTGGTACTACACACGTCTAAAAATTTTCACCCTCGGCAACTGTGAAATTGGACTTCAGTCAGATCCTCATCTCAAAATCTTGTAGACTCTTTATAGTTAAAACAAGTTTCAAAAATATTTTCAATTATAACATCCTGCACAATATAAAATAAACAATCTCCGATAATGATAAAAACTGACAGTGGGAAAATGTCTCTTCTTGGCCTCTGGGGAAAGTCTCTCTTTGTCGCAATGGTTGCCCAAAAGCTATATGATTATCACAGTGGCGCATGTAGTCATCCTGTATTTCTGATGGACTAGATTTCTCTTCTCCTTATAGTTTCAGCTTTTCAAGCTCTTCAGCCAGATCTGGCGAGGTCTGAAAATATTTGATGAACAACACTTATGTTGTGTCACTTCAGTTTTGAACGCGTTGCACTTATCCCCATTACAATGCTAACTGGTAGCTGATCAGAGTCTATATTGTCATTAATATCATCACTTCTTTCAGACCTCACCATATCTCCTGACTTTCTTGTGACTTTGGTAATTACCCCCTAGTTTGAAACATTTTTACATACTTATTTTAATACTTCAATTGAAAGTTTTATCTTTTCTTTCTCTAAAACATACTTTCTGGCACAAAGCAAACTGAAGCCTTTGGGAACCTTCCTTTTCATAATTTTCAAGTGTTACTTGCAGAGCAGTTTTGGGACAGACAATCATCATTTATTTTTCAATTCAGAGAAAAAATACTGTATAAGTTTTAATTCTGAGTGAATCCTCACACACAGTATCCAATAAGCATTCAGGTAGTAAGTGCAAAGTGTATGATCATATTTAAGATCAAAATGAAATAGTGCAATTTAAAATATCTAAAAGGGGAATCAATACTTCTAAAAAGTTTTCAGAAAAAAAAGACAAATTTCAGAGACATTTCTCTCATTATTTAACTCATTTTAGAAGCAAATACTGACAACAGGGCACATTGGAAAAAACCAAATTGCATAAACATGACAAGCTACCAGTTAAAGTTCTGGCTTAACAAGGCCTGTAGATCAGCCACTTGCCTTCTCATAAACTTTTTATCACATGAGAGCACATAATTGTACATCCAACCAGACAACAGTCATGTAAACTGTTCACAAATTTAAACACCTCATACTTTATATAAATATTTAATCTTTCAATATTTCTCTTTTATAGCCATTCAGAATTTTGAACAACAATTTTAGTAGTTATAAAAAATCTTTGTAAGGAAAATGAGACTGGACAGTAACATTACATGAAGACAGCAAATGCTAGTCTCTCACCTTCATGTCCTCAGGTCTTGGTGAGATTGCCGTTCCCTTGACTTGTAAGTTCGGATCACAGATTTCAAGACCTTCATCATCATCTTCTTCTTCTTCTTCTTCCTGTCAAACATCAGACAAGAGTAAGAGTTATTTCATTGTCTGTGCTCATCATCTATGATTTTGATAATCAGTGCTTGCCAGCATGCATGACATGTAGATTTTCTGAAGGTTCAGTTAAAAGCTTTAATGACTTTCTGAAGTACAGTTAAAAGAATAAATTAATTTCTGAAATTCAGTTCAAAGATATTTGGCACCTGTCTACTGGCGTCCCCTTCTTCATCGTCTTCATCTTCATCATCTCCTTCATCATCACTGAGGGATGCCAAACAGTCTAGCCTTCCCATAGCTTCTAGTGTTCCTTGTATTAACTCAACGCCTTCCTCTCCCAGCTGATTGCCTGAAATACACGAGAAGAAACTGTATATAATGCACTAAGAGACTAGGGCCCGTAACTTGAAAGCATCACGCATTGGGACCTAGCGCAAGCGCCTCAATTCCATAACTCGCCCATACTCGCCCCATATAATACACTGTAGCCTCTCTATGTGATATTGCTATTTGCAATACGCGATGCTTTCGAGTTACGGGGATCAGCTGAGGAAGAAGCGAGATTGTAAAGGGCAGGCCTGATAAAAAAATGATCCCAGCTGAATGGAAATCTGCAGTCACAGCCGTCTGCCTGAATATGACCTGAATATGTTGTAAGAGCACATAAAATAAATTCATGAAAACAAGTATCTAGCTCTGTATGTCTTATCCAACATCAAAATGTTACACCTGTATACATTTTTATCTTTCTTAAAATCTTACTACTTGTTTTTCACATCTTTAACAAATCACTAATACTCACCATTTAAATCTAGTTTTTCCAAACACTCTTTGTTTTCCACACATTCTGCAACTTCATTTGCAGCATCTTTGTTTATTTCATTAAAAGACAAAACCAACTCCTGAAAAAATATGTAAAATACTGGCTAATTCCAATTTAAAAACAATCTGAGGGTAAAATTGAAAATTATGAAAATGTCAAAATTTGGCTGGTATTTATCTGACTTATACAGTCAAATTGTTGGTCACCTTTCACTACTGAAAAAAAAAAAATGTTCCAAAAAATTTTCTCTGAATAGTCTGTGAACAGTCAATTGTTAACATCATACTCAGACTGCCAAAATAGAACATGACTGCATTTCCCACTACTGAAAAATGCCAAGTTTTTAACAATATTTTTCAAACATCTGAAGCACAGATTCTCAACTAAAGATTATTTACCTTCAGTTTCTTGTGGCCCTCTTGCAATGCTGCAGCTAATACCCTTGCGCCTCCAGATCTTATTAAACAGTCTCCAAAATTAATAACTTCTAAGTTCTGGACATGTTTTAAAGCCTGAATACAAAGATAATGGGATTTTAAATATTATACTTCATATCCTTATACTAGATAATATAAAATCTCCACTGTATTAATAGAATGTCAAAATTCTCCACAACTTTTTCTTACAAGGAATTCCAAAGTGCTAAAACAGTTTGTATTTCACCAGAAGTTCTGAAATCTTACATGCGCCTTTACTATTATAAGCAAGCTAAGGGCCCATTCCTAAAAGAACCTTCAGAGAAATGACCTTGCTTTGCAAATTGTAAGAAGAAGAAAAGAAGAAGGAAGGAAAAGATTGAATCTTCAATCTTTAGACCTATTTGGGTGCTCTGCAGGTAAGAGGTATCCAAGAAAATTGCTTACATTTTACTTACAGGCAGGAAACAGGTACGGAGTAGAAAGTGGTTTTCACTTAGCATCATACTTAATTCAGACAAAAGGAACTCCCAGCCACTCACCTTAGCCATGGACTTTGCTCCAACCTCCGTGAAAGTGTTATCATTCAGGTTAATTATTCTGAGATTTTTATTGACGGTGAAGGCTTCAGCTAGTGCTGTGATGCCCTCGTGGTTGATGCCATTCTGGGGCATCTGGACCTCCTCTAAACTACCCATTATCTGGAAACAGAATTTACAATCCATTTCAGATAGCATGAAGAATATTATTATAGGTCATTAAAACACAATTAATGCCCTGATTTAAAAAAAAAATAATAATAATAAAATACAATTAAAAAAAAAAACTACCCTGGAACGTTCTGTCTCATACACGTCAGTTGCGATCTTCAGGGGCAAACAACCTCTCTGCATGAGGTTCATTTGCTCAAGCGCAAAAGTGAATTTAGCGAAAGACACATAATTAACACTTGCTGGCTATCAAAGCTTTGTGAAATCATCCTCAGAAGGCCTTTTGGAAGGGTTATGTAAAAGTTACTGAGCATTCTCATTTTTAATTTGTTGCAGTAGTATAATGTTACAGACAAATATTGTTGTCATTGAACAACCTATATCATAATTCTGCTTTAATCAATTTAAAACTAGTTCCCTATACAATATTCATAAAATATTTTTAGTGTAAATTTTTATTATCTTATTCACAATATCTTATTCATCCATCAGGATAATGCCATATTATACCTTGAAAGCTTCAGCCAAGGCAATGGAGCCTTCGTTCTCTAACCTTCCCCTTCCTGAGAAGAACACCCTCAAGGCAAGGGGGGCACCTGCTGCACTGCTGGCCTTGGAACACTCCAGTAACGTTTTTGCCAAGATCTACAACAAAACACAATATGCTAATAGAATATTTGGGAGGATTTGTGTGCCTTCAGTAGCACTGAAAACTCAGTGAAAAAGCTTCCAGAAACCGAGCGCACAAGAAAAGTCTACGATTCTATTAACCAAAGCTGAAACAGTGTCTTCACCAGAGTAACTGGACAAATAAACAACATGTTACTGGCCCAGCTTCACATTCTATTGGCACATTCAGTGTGTCACCAGTGTGAACAACTCTGCCACTCTGTAAGACGTTGCCCAGCAATGGCAACACACTATCTCGGGATGTATTTTTTTAAAAAATATTTTACCGGATTTTTACAGCAGGTAAAACAATTTTGTGTACATTCTAATACATGTACAATGGCTGAGAACACTTTATAATTATTATTATTATTATTATTACCTTCCCTCCCGTGACACCCAGACCATTATTATTCAACCTCAGCTCCTTTAACGTGTAACAGCTTTCACTCTTCAGCAGTTCCACCACTCCGTTGATGCCATGGGGACCAAAGGCATTATCACTGAGATCCAGCTCCACCAGTTTGGCACCGGCTAACATTATACCATTACTGAGATACATCTGAAAGGAAAACATGGAATTGATTTAACAGGGAAATATGAAAAATTATGACCAAAACACTGACAATACTCCTGCAATTACTGATGCAGTGATTTCTTTTAAAATTTCAAAACAAAAAGGAAGATCTCTTCGTGCCACCTTTTTTTCTTGTAAAAGGAAAGTACAGCAATGAAAGATTAAAAAAATAATGTACTTTTAGGAAATTTCTGCACACTTGACATAAAAAAATATAATTTTAAATAACCATTTTTTAAAATTCATACATGTTTTTATTATCTCTACAGTAAAGATATTGCAAAAGTTCAACCTTTAAGTCAAACAAGAAGTGCAACAAGATAAACAGCAAAATGGCCTGATCCTAATAAACATTTGAAGAACATAGTCCAAAAACCTAAAATGATCAAAACTGAACAGAGGATTACCAATGCTTGGGGTATTTCTGTCTTTAGTCTTCCAGTAAACATGTCACTCCACAGAGCACGTTCAAACTCTGGGTGCTTCTCCAAACCCTTTGATATGGCTTTGGCTGCATCGACACCAAGGGTGTTCCCATCCATACGTAGTGCTTTCATTGACTTGAACTGGACGATAGCATCAGCAATTTCCTTGGCTGAAATTGTGGAAATCATAAGTAAAGATTAAGCCATTATATTCACCTATTAATGCACGACTGGAGGTTTTCTTATTACATTTGCCGTTTCAACATAAAAGACGCTTTTCTGATATTTCTATTTCCGTAATTTATGTTAATTTAGTAATGGCAGTATTAACAGGAGACACGGTCAGATTTGAAATAAAATTAGTCATTTATCATTATAACAAAAGAATAATATTGATTACAAGTTCAGATGCCCCCTCCAACTATGTTTCATTTAACTTTTTTCACTATTTATCTGAAAAAAATTAATAACAGAGCAGTATGTACAATATCAACAAAGACAAAAATGCTGACATGACATAAAAACATTACAAGTAATAAAACGTGGGTCAGCTGGCCGTCTTACCATCGTCTTCGGTATCAAGTTTTCGTCCTTGCCCAGCAAAACTGAGGATACTCGATTCTTCGACAGAGGCCTTGGCCAACCTGTCTGTAAGCTGATTTAAATCAGCACCGGCCATCATTCAGCTCAGGCTGACAAGAAAAGTTAAAATTAAAATGTATTCTAGTCAACAAATGAAGTCCATGCGCCGGTGGGAATATGGCGGCTTCTTTCGTAGTTCAAAGTGCCCGGATGCCGAGGTCAAGGTCGTGATTTATTTTTAGAAGCGAGGATATCCCTTGCACAACACTGTGACATTCGCTGTTTGCACAATATTGACTCAATAGAATTACTGGTATATATAGCAGTTCTCTTAACAGATCAGAATAATAATACACCCGACGATGATTATATGAAGGGATTGGGAAATTGGTTCATCTGTGAATAAGGTACGTAAAACTGGTGTAAACTGAGAAACCAAGTGAAAATAAAGTGAAAGTAACAATCTGTCAGTAATATATGTAATGTTAAAGAAAATAATTGAGAGAGCTACCACTGCTAGCAAGATTTTTCTTCTTAAGTGTTGAGATGCAATGCAGTTAACGTTGTGGCAGACACCATCGCACTAGTTTTCCCTTTGTTTAAGTTCAATTCTATTATTATAGATTTTTTCGGTTGAAATAATTGTTTATACTATTTTATAGCAATTTATATACACATTTGTAATAAGAATATATTTAATTTTCATCAGTTTGTTTACGAGTATACCAGTACACAGAAGAAGATGACAGAATTATCCTCCAGAGAGGCACTTAGACTTTGCCAGTCTACTACAACGATTGAAACTATCATAGAGCTCACAAAGCACAGTGACCCATTGGTAAGATAGTTTTACCCCAATCTCCTTGACAACAATATTGGTCTGCGTGGATTGACCAAACTTACCAGTGCAATCAGCTCAAGTGACTGACACGCTTCTTCTTGTTTCCAACGTATTCCTATAATTACAATCTTTTATGAATTCTACAAAAGTCTACAGAAGTCTCGTTTTTCAGTTTGTAATTTTATTTGATCTCTGTTGATGAAGTTGAATTATTTTGATAAATAATATTTAGCAGAAATTTTATTGTTATTANGTCTTTGCCAAGATCTACAACAAAACACAATATGCTAATAGAATATTTGGGAGGATTTGTGTGCCTTCAGTAGCACTGAAAACTCAGTGAAAAAGCTTCCAGAAACCGAGCGCACAAGAAAAGTCTACGATTCTATTAACCAAAGCTGAAACAGTGTCTTCACCAGAGTAACTGGACAAATAAACAACATGTTACTGGCCCAGCTTCACATTCTATTGGCACATTCAGTGTGTCACCAGTGTGAACAACTCTGCCACTCTGTAAGACGTTGCCCAGCAATGGCAACACACTATCTCGGGATGTATTTTTTTTTAAAATATTTTACCGGATTTTTACAGCAGGTAAAACAATTTTGTGTACATTCTAATACATGTACAATGGCTGAGAACACTTTATAATTATTATCATTATTATTATTATTACCTTCCCTCCCGTGACACCCAGACCATTATTATTCAACCTCAGCTCCTTTAACGTGTAACAGCTTTCACTCTTCAGCAGTTCCACCACTCCGTTGATGCCATGGGGACCAAAGGCATTATCACTGAGATCCAGCTCCACCAGTTTGGCACCGGCTAGCATTATACCATTACTGAGATACATCTGAAAGGAAAACATGGAATTGATTTAACAGGGAAACATGAAAAATATATGACCAAAACACTGACAATACTCCTGCAATTACTGATGCAGTGATTTCTTTTAAAATTTCAAAACAAAAGGGAAGAACTCTTCGTGCCAACTTTTTTTCTTGTAAAAGGAAAGTACAGCAATGAAAGATAAAAGATAATGTATTTTTAGAAAATTTCTTCACACTTGATATAAAAGAAATATAATTTTAAATAACCATTTTTTAAATTCATACATCTTTTTATTATCTCTATAGTAAAGATATCACAAAAGTTCAACCTTGAAGTCAAATAACAAGTGCAAAAAGATAAAACAGCAAAATGGCCTGATCCTAGTAAACACTTGAAGAACATAAACCAAAAACCTAAAATGATCAAAACTGAACAGAGAATTACCAGTGCATGGGGTATTTCTGTCTTTAGTCTTCCAGTAAACATGTCACTCCACAGAGCATGTTCAAACTCTGGGTGCTTCTCCAAACCCTTTGATATGGCTTTGGCTGCATCGACGCCCAGGGTGTTCCCGTCCATACGTAGTGCTTTCATTGACTTGAACTGGACGATAGCATCGGCAATTTCCTTGGCTGAAATTGTAGAATTGTGAGTCATGATAAGACCATTCTACTTATCTATTAATGCACAACTGGAGGTTTTCTCATCGCTTGCCGTTTCCACAAAAAAAAAAAAAAAAAATCTTAAAACAGAAATGTAACACATAAAAGAGCAAGCAAGGCTTTCCCTAGAGAGCTGTTCAGCTGTCACTTGGACGGCCATAGGCCTCAAAAGATGATCTATATTATAAAAGAAAGTTGGATGTTTGGATAAAATAGCAGTGGTGTTATTGAGCAGTGTGATATTGATGTGAGGGAGAAAAGGTTGTCTTATATGAGTGAATCTAAGTTAAAAGAATATGAATCTTTAAAAAGATCAAATTTATCGTTTACAATAAAATTACAAATATAATTATTATAAATATGTAAACTCCAAAAAA